TTTTCTTCTTTATTTCAGCATATTATGGGGGTACAAATATTTAGGTTATATATATTGCTCTTGCCCCACCCAAGTCAGAGCTTCAAACATGTCCATCTCCCAGATGGTGCACACCAGACCCATTAGGTGTGACTATACCTATCCCCTCCTCCCCCCTCCCACCTACCTGACACCTGATGAATGTTATCACTATATATGCACTTAAGTGTTGATCAGCTAAAACCAGTTTGATGGTGAGTACATGTGGTGCTTGTTTTTCCATTCTTGGGATACTTTACTTAGTAGAATGGGCTCCAGCTCTATTCAGGAAAATACAAGAGGTGCTATATCACCATTGTTTCTTATAGCTGAATAGTACTCCATGGTATACATATACCACATTTTATTAATCCACTCATGTATTGATGGGCACTTTGGTTGTTTCCACATCTTTGAAATTGTGAATTGTGCTGATATAAACATTCGAGGGCAGATGTCTTTTCCATGGTCTCATCTAGCTCCTTTCTGCCAGTCAATTTAGAGTTTTGTTTCTCTAATCATGAAGGCTGTGTGATAATCTAGCTTCTCCAATAATCATGGCCTCATGGATGGTAAGTGTTCACAGGCATTATCTTGTTAGAAGGAAGACTCCTGAGCCCCACCACAGAACTACTGAAACAGGATCTGTAGTTTAACCAGGTTTCCAGGAAATTCATAGGCATTGAAATTTGGAAAACACAGATCTAGCTAGGCCAAAGAAGTTCTTTGTCTTTTTCCTTTTTCCTCACACTGATTGGATGCTACGCACATGTCTAGAATTTGAGCTATATAATTTGCTTGAGGAAGACACTTTTTTATTTGGAGTTGGCTTCTGAAAGGAATTTAGATCTTTGGCTTCACTAAAATCATATTTTGAATAGTTGAGATGAGACCATACTAATCAAAGCACTCAGAATGTCAAATTTTATATATAAACTGAAGTTTGCATAAGAAGTCAAAAGTGGGTAGAGCTCAGTGGCTCACACCTGTAATCTCAGTAGTTTGGGAGGCCAAGGCAAGAGGCTTGGTTCAAGATCAGCCTGGCCAATATACAAAGACCATATCTCTACAAAAGATTTTAAAACTTAGTAGGCTTTTTGGTGTGTGCCTGTAGTCCCAGCTACTTGGGAGGCAGGAGGATCGCTTGAGCCCAGGAGTTTGAGGCTGCAGTGAGCTATGATTATACCACTGTACTCCAACCTGGGTGGACAGAGTGAGACTCTTCTCTAAAAAACCAAAACAAAACAAAGTCAGAAATGTCATCTGTTTTGGAAAATAGTGGCATAAAGTGTAATTTCAATTGTTAAAAGTAGAACTGTCTATAGTGACTTAATGTTTATGATTCTGAAGTCTGTAATACCCTGTAGAATACCCTGAATCTCTCATACACATCTAAATCCACAATGCCCAGTTGAAGATCTTCACTTTGTCCTATAGGGAATCCTAAGACACTCTTAGGGGAATTTCAGTTCTCCTCACCTACCTGGCAAAAACACAGATGTATCATTGGTTGACCCTTGGGTTGAAAGAAAATTTATATAAACAACATTTCCCTGATATTGGAAAAGAAGCCTCAAAAATCAATGAGTATCAAGAAGTGCTACCCATGTTATTGTCATTCTTGTACTATTTATGGGTTTTTTTCTGCTTTAGAAAGTCTAACACCTCTAAAGGGTCTCCATAATTTCTTTTAAGTTATTGGTAAGAGAAAATTTATTTTATAATATTTGTTATTCTTTAAAAAGAAAATTTAAAGTGCTTTCTAATTTATAATAATTTTAGATTTGGTTTACAGGGTGTCAAAAGTGTCAGGAGCAAATGGAACAAAAACGAGTGAATAATATTCACATTTTATTTCATATTTTATAAAATAATCTTCATATTTTATAAGCAAAATATCTGTAGTTTTGAATTGTTTTTGAATTGTTTCTCTTAATGATGATTTATTATTTTATATACCCAACTAGGATGTTTGTAAAGTAAGTTCTAGTTAACTAGAGTATTCAATGCTTTCAAACTGGGTGTATGATTTAAGTCAATGCTCATTATAGAAGAAATATTTCTGATAATTCTAATATAAACATTCGTTCTCTGTAATCATATCCTCTGGTAAAAAACATTTAAGTCTATCAATGAAATAATAACCCCTCTCTACCTTTACCACTCTGACAATAATTTCATTGATTATTTTATATTTGTATATGGCATAAAAACATATATATAGGATTGGATATACAGAAATACATACATTTTATTGTGTATTTTATATATAAATAGTAATACTAGCGATAATTTACATATATATAAATATATAGCTCAGAAATATGCAGAAAATATACTTCCCCTACCCTTGCCAGCATTAATGATTCATAAAGAATCCAATACAAATTGAATTTGAAATTTTCTCATTATTTTGTTACTTGGAACTATATGGAAGGAAATCCATTCCATATAAAAATCTACATAAGTGAAATTATTGCCATTTGTTCTTTATATTGTCTGTATCAGGGTCCAGTCTTTGGCTTACTTGGTCATCCTAAAAAGCAAACAAACAAACTTATTAATGGAGAGTAAAATGCTCTCAAATAAAATCAGAGATATTTCTAGATAAATTAATTTCAATTGCAATAGTATTAAAAATAAAGCATCACTTAAACAGGAAATACTCTATCAGACAGTGACAATGTATTCATAAACAATGGAAAATTTATAAAATAAAACTTCAAGTCAAAGTCTCTTTATCATACACAAATTCCATAGGCAAATAAACTTGAATTCTTAAAAAAAGAAAATGAACATATTCTCAGAAATTGCAACTCTTAATGAACACTAGTGTTAATGCAAATATTCAACCCAAACCTCTGAATCTTTCCCTTTATTTTGTCTTGAAGCATCTTTCATACTTTCTCTCCCTCCTTTTTGGCTTGTCTTTTCTGAACTTATCCATCTATGACTGTCTTATTTTATGCCTATTTTTCTTCCTCCCTCTCATTTTATTTTTACACATATATATATTTCCTTTTCTACTTTTTCTGTCCCTTTTTCCCTCTGGATGTGTTCTTCTCCTCCCCTCTCACTTGTCAATCCTTTTCTTTTGAAAACTTTTCTTAAAATGTTCTACAGGAGAAAAAAATTACATTACTCTATGAGTAGCAGATCAATGCAAACTGCTTTCCACATTCCAGAGTACTCTGTATCATTTCCTCACTGTTGGGTTACATTTCTCATTCATCTCTCATTATTATCCCAACTTAATTCTGTTGCATAAAGGAAATTGCTCTCACTAAAGCCGCTATAAATCCATATCCATGGTCTGTGATCTCTGTTCACTCCTTGTCCTACTATTTATTTATTTTGAGCATTTATTTATTTATTAGAGCATTTATATTATTTATTTATTAGAGCATTTATTTTGACATCTGGCAATGTAGTTTCCTTTGTCATTCTCACTATCTTTCCTTACTTTATGTCCAGAACACTCAGCTTTCTAGTTTCCCTCCTGCTTCTTCCCTTGATCACTCTGCTCAGTATTCTTTTCTCATCTCTCCCTTGTCTTCCTTTGGATATCCAGGCCATTGGGTTGCAACAGGAAAGGAGTTTATCGAATGGCAATTGGCTCTAACATAGAAATTCTAAGAAAGTTGAAGGAATTGGCTGGAAAAGAATGGCAGGAACAGAAGGAAGCAAGGCAGCCAGTCAACAGGCAAAATCCTGTCCCCACACTTCCAATGACACAGTTTATACTATCAGTGCCACTGTAGTAGATACAGAAAGCATGTGCTGGAATCTTCATATTTTTGCCTTGGCTGCCTTTGTACTAAAATTTTTTGTCCATGTACATTTGTCCTCATCTCTCTATGTCCAATTCCAGGTTCGGTGGGTTTGACTGGACAAATTTAAGTCAAGTTCTCTGTCTATGACCAAGCTCACATAGTAGAAAAGGGGATCAGGTGTTAGATATCTAGTACATGACATCTATCCCCTTCATGACCTCTTTAGCATAACTTCTTCAAGTTTTGTCCTTGCTCTTACTCTGTTTTCTTTGTGTACTTTTCAATGGATAAATCATCCATAACTTTGTCTTCATCTACCCAATGACTGTTGAGACATTATTGTTAGTAAAATTATATTACTAACTGCATCTTACCTTGATGTTTAAAGGATGCTCACACTACAAACTTGTTAATGCACCTGAGTTCTCAAGCTCAATTTTGGATGACAATCTACCTAATCACTGAGTGACTCCTTTTTCTTTCACTGACTTCTACTTTGATATCAAATATGTTCCTATGTCCTAGTGACTCTATATTCTTACTGCTTTAGAATCTATTTCTCCATCCTTCTCATTATTCCCTACATCATATTACACATGGACTAGGTATTTTAATCCATTTTAATCACCTGAGGGGTATTTTTAAAAAGCAGATTGCTTGATTGTATTTTTAGAATTGAAATAATTGCATTTATTTCAATTTTATTTCCCCAAAAGTTTCCATTTATTGCAGTAATATGAAATAAAATGAAAAGGGTATTGTAGGCCGGGCGCGGTGGCTCACGCCTGTAATCCTAGCTCTCTGGGAGGCCGAGGCGGGCGGATTGCTCGAGGTCAGGAGTTCGAAACCAGCCTGAGCAAGAGTGAGACCCCGTCTCTACTATAAATAGAAAGAAATTAATTGGCCAAATAATATATATAGAAAAAATTAGCCGGGCATGGTGGAGCATGCCTGTATTCCCAGCCACTTGGGAGGCTGAGGCAGAAGGATCGCTTGAGCCCAGGAGTTTGAGGTTGCTGTGAGCTAGGCTGATGCCATGGCACTCATTCTAGCCTGGGCAACAAAGCGAGACTCTGTCTCAAAAAAAAAAAAAAAAAAAAAAGGGTATTGTAATAAGAGAATGATTTTATATCAACTTCCCTCTCCTAGTATTCACTTTATAAGTTCTAGGGAATATTCTTTAACAATTCATTTCATTTCATTTTAGGGATGTGCAGTGAGGACATGAAAACGGAAAATGCAACAGTGCTGACAGAGTTTGTTCTCACGGGACTTACATATCAATCACAGTGGAAAATCCCCCTCTTCCTGGCATTCTTGGTGATATATCTCATCACCATGGTGGGAAACCTTGGTCTGATTACTCTCATCAGGAATGGCCCTCATCTTCACATCCCCATGTACTTATTCCTTGGGAGTTTAGCCTTTGTGGATGCTTGGATATCCTCCACAGTGACCCCCAAGATGCTGGTCAACTTCTTAGCCAAGAGTCAGATAATGACTCTATCTGAATGTTTGATACAATTTTTTTCCTTTGCATTTGGTGGAACCACAGAATGTTTCCTCTTGGCAGCAATGGCGTATGATCGCTATGTCGCCATATGCAAACCTTTACTCTATCCAGTGATTATGACCAATGAACTATGCATCCGGCTGTTAGTCTTGTCATTTGTAGGTGGCTTTCTTCATGCTTTAATTCATGATGTTCTTATATTCAGATTAACCTTCTGTAATTCTAACATAATACATCACTTTTACTGTGATATTATCCCATTGTTTATGATTTCTTGTACTGACCCTTCTATTAATTTTCTAATGGTTTTTATTTTGTCTGGTTCAATACAAATTTTCAGTATTGTCACTATTCTTAACTCTTATACATTTATTCTCATTACAATCTTAAAAAAGAAGTCAGTCGAAGGCATAAGGAAAGCCTTCTCCACCTGTGGAGCTCATCTCTTATCTGTGTCTTTATACTATGGCCCTCTTCTCTTCATGTATGTGCGACCTGCATCTCCAGAAACAGAGGATCAAGATATGATGGACTCTCTGTTTTATACTGTCATAATTCCTCTGTTAAATCCAATTATCTACAGCCTGAGAAATAAGCAAGTCATAGATTCACTGTCAAAAATGTTAAAAAGAAATATTTAGTTCTCATACTAAATATCTTCTCATTTTAGTAAAAAGTTACAAAATTTTATAGGTCAAATGTGGCTGCGTTTTGTTAAATGTTCAAAGTTTTTTGTAATTATAACTGTCCTAGCATTTTAATACTTAATGTACCTATTAAACTCCTTAAAATATTTATATAATTCAAAAGCATACAAGGAATTGTAGCATTTGTGTCACATTAGGATAGATAATTTAAGCAGAAACAAATGAAAACATTTAACAGGATTGAATGTTTTTCATGTGACTTTATAAATATATTAAGTGACAAAGTACTGTAGCTCCTCTCAAAAGGATTTGTGTAGGATATGTCATACAGCTCACAGAGTTATATAGTCTAGAGAGTCATATCACATTAACTGCATTGTGGTGGCAGGTTTGTGTTTGGTTGAGCAGATGAAAATCCCAGGAAATCAGCTAACTTCAAAAGTAAAAAGACCTAAAAAGTTTTTTTATTCTAATTTATTGGGAAATAGTGGATTTCACTTCTTGTAGGAATTTAACTCATATCACATGTAGAAATAAATAGAATAATGGGAATGCAATTATGGGGGGGAAAAAGAGAAGTGAGTTAAGACTGTGAAGGCAAGGCCAAACTCAGACACAATGCTCTTAGCTCCTTCTGCTTCTATCAGTCATGAAAAGAGGCAAGTGGCCTCTCTCTGTTTATGATGCCTTCAAAGGCATCTTTTTACCCAGTTGTATTTGTATGATACTGGGCAATGTTGAAGATTCACTGATTCATAAATCTAACAGATTAGATTGAAGAATTAAGTTAGTGTGGGTATAGAGACAAAAAGAAAAGTGGCAGAATACAAAATAAATGGTCTCGATCTTCCTGGAATTAGAAAAAAATGAAAGTAGTAAGTGAAATCGGTGATATTTCAATAAGCCACTGAGAACAAGTGGCTTTAAATGCATATTACCAAAGATCAATAATGTTGAGAGGGTATGGTCTCATAGTGCCTAGTGCGTGGCTGGGAAGGATATAAACACGAGCAAGAGTCTGGATGTTTTGTGACTGAAAAGTCCTTGAATTTTAGCTTTTCTCACTATATTTTCCCTTTAAGTTTAATGAGAGATCCATTTTCAGGTCACCCACGCCCTTCCTCTCTCAACACTAGAATTCCACCCACATTCCTACTGATACCACCCAGGCCCTCACCCTGAAACTACTCATCTGTCTGTTTTGCAAAACTCTAGTTACTACCTCCCCCATCCTTTATACTCTCTTATTGCCTAAATACTGCTGCCAGATGATTATCCCTAAGCAGAACTCTGATTAAATCATAGCCTGGTTTAATAACTTTGAATGGATTGTCCTTGCTATAAGATTATATAAATATATGGTATATGTATCTAGATCTGAATATATACATATGGATACATTTATTTGTTCACATGTATGTACAGATTACATGATATACAGATATATATGACATGACATATATTAATATGATGTACAGGCAGTTCCCAGGTTACAGATGACCCAACTGTGTTCCATACTTACTAATCGACTCTCCCAGTGTTCCCCGTAAGGATAATTTATACTGAAACAGTTAAATTAATAATTCGGGAACTAGTTTCTTCCATGCATATAAATAGACCTGCATGGTCTAAGTGGTTCATTGCTTCAACACATTTACACTAGTAGCTAGTCTTATTGTTTCTAAGGTTGCCTAAGCACAGCATCACTTTCATCTTAACTTTTGTATTCAATTTTGTGAGTCTGTGTTTACCCTTATGACCGTGCCTTCAAAGTGAAAGTCCACTGCAAGTCCAGGTGAGCTTGCAGCGAAGAGAAATTTGAAAATTTGATTGCAATGGAAAAGAAAGTAGAAATAATCAAGTGTTCAGAGAAAGACCAGATGCCATCATTCATTGGGAAAACGTCAGGCTTCAGTTGCTGGACTATCAGAACCATTATAAAAGGTAAAGAAGAATAATAGAACAGGTGAAAGGCAGTGCTCCAACGAAAGCATCAATTATTACCAAAGTGTGTAGTGGATTAATTATTGAAATGAAAAGTTATTATTTATTGGAGATCAGAATAAGATAACATTCCTATTAGCCTAGGAATTCAAAGAAAGAGCACAATGGTTTCTGTAACATTATTATAATACAGAAGATGTGTCTGTCATGTGATGCTATACTGGAATCAGGTTGGAAAGTAAGCTACATTCAGTTGAGTTAATAAAAACCCATTCAATGAGATTTTATCATTAGCAGGTGTGACTCACCAGGCTTCTTGGAAAGGAATTTGGGCAAGAGAAAAAAATGTCAGAGTTCAGTCTTCAATACCTATCTTGGTACATCATATTGTTTATTCCACTTTTCTGCAGCATATTCACAGTAATTATGCTTTTATACATGCTATTTTTCTCTACATATTTGTTTTTCCCTAGTAAAATCGGAAGGAAACCAGGTAATTGATTAATGAATCTAACCAAAAAATATGCTCTTTGCTTTCCCTCATCTTGCCAGTGGGGATTAAAATTTAAAAACTTTAATGTGGAGGTAGTTATATACCACTATATAGATATTAAATCTAAATGGCAAAACGCTTAATTAAATTTATTTTTCTGAATAAATTCTCATTGACCAGTTCCTAAGTTAATATTCAAAGGGAAGATTTGATAATGTTACTACCATGTTCATGATCCCTCCACAGTTTTCCTTTAAGTTGGGGTAAAGAACAAAGTCCTTGACCTAGACTTCAAGCCCCCAAACCCCCTGCATTCCCGTTCATATTGCCTGCCTGGCCTGACCTGACCTGGTTCCTTCCCATTTCTCTCTTTGATTGTCAGCCACATTTAACATTTACCATTCACCATTTACCATTTACCATTTTTTGTTTCTCCAATGATCTAGTTTCTGTGATAATCCAGGCCCTGCAATGATGAAGGCCCTGTGGATGGCAAGTGTCCACGGCAGGGCACTTTGTTAGACAGGAATACTCCCGAGCCTCATCCCAGAACTACTGAGACAGGATCTGCATCTTGACAAGGTCTCCAAGACCTTTCTAGGCATTGAAGAACGGGAAGGATGGATCTAGGCTACCTCCCAATGGATGTCCTTTGTGTTTGATTTCCTTTGCTCCTCCCTCTTAGCTTTGCTTAGCAAGATTTCAGGTTAATGTTGGAGCTGGGTATATGTCTAGGATTTGAGCTGTAGTTTCATGGGGAGGACAACTTTACTTGGGGTTTCCTTCTAAAGACAATCTAGATCTTTGGTTTCATTAAAACCATGTTTTGATTAGCTCAGAAGAGACGATACTAATCAAAGCACTCAGAACAGCAAATTTTATATGTAAACCACAGTTTTCACAAACATGTCAGAAGTGTCATCTGTGGTGGAAAATGGTGGCACAAAGTATGATTTCAGTGGTTAAAACTAAGACTCTCTATGGTGACTTGGGGTTTATGATTGCAAAGGCTGTAACGCCCTGTGGGATAATTTGAACTTCTCATGCAGGTCCAATCCTACAATGCCCAGCAGGGCCTCAAATTTTGCCCTGAAGGGAATCCTCATGCTCTCTGGGGGCAATTTCAGTTTCCCACCTTTTCCTGTTTGAGCAAAAGCATACAGTTGTACAATTGGTGGACTCTTGTTTTCAAGGCAAATTTATATACACATTTCCTTAGCTTGGGAAATGAAGCTTCTGAAATGAATCAGTGTGCCAAGAATTGCTACGTATGTTTCTGTCATTTTTGTGCTATAATTGTATTTATTTGTACTTTAGAAAGCCTAACACTGTTAAAGGATTTCCACAATTTCAGTCAAGGTATGAGTAAGAGAGAAATGATTTCTATAATATTTATTATTCTTTATATACAAAGTTAAAACTTATATTTAAGATTGGGTTTATAAGAAGTCAAAAGAGACAGGTGGAAATGAAAACTATTAGTGAAGTATTTGTATTCTTTATTTTTACAATTAAAGTTGTATTCAATTAAATTTAATTGTATACAATTAAATTTGTATTCTTTATTTTTACAATTTTTACAATTTGGACAAGCAAATTAGCTATAAGACTGATTGATTTCCTTTGATGGTGTTTTATTACCCTGTTAATTTGAACTATAATGACTTTATAAGGGAAGTTTGGGTGAGCCAGAACATTAATTTAAAACTAAATTTAAAGATTAAATTGCAATGTTATATGAGTTTTCATTCATTCTAATAAAAAGACCCATTCTGTTTAATTAAATATGTATTCTTATTAACACTTTTAAGGTATCACTTAAATATTTAGCTCATCTATCCTTTCACTCACTTCTGAAAATAATATAATTGAGTATTTTATATATATCTAAAAGGTACTCATACACAAAGAGAATTTGACATTTTCAATTATTTTGTTATTTAAGATTGCATACAAGGAAGCCCATTCCAAACACAATAAATCTGGAATTATTAGTGTTGGCCATTTATATAGCCTGTTTCAGGTTGCATTCTTGGCTCAATATTATTCTGCCAAAAAACCAAAATGCTGGATAATAATTTGCTGCCAAGTAAAGCCAGAAAATTCCTAGAGTAAGTCACTTCTATTTACTATAATAACAATGATAAAGTAACTTTTAAATATGGAAAGAACTTTGAGACAGTGCTAGTATATTTATGAACAACACAAAATTTTTGAGTAAATTTCAAAATCAGATTTCTTTTTAATATATAAATTCCAGATCCCCAAGTGCTGCCCCTTGATGAAATTCAAACTTCACAGGATAAATCCATTTTAATAAAGGGATCTGGAACAAATCTGAATTTGTAAAATTTGGATCCATTCAAAGGGCCACACTCAAGGATCCAGAAGGCACATGTGACCCCAAGGCTACAGGTTCCCCACTCCTTTCACTGGTGTGTAGATTAGAGATTTATATCACATTTACTCCATAGAGAGTTTATCTTTTGGTAACGTGCCTAAGAAATAAAAATGTAATATTTTATCACGATAATTCCTATGTTGTCCTTATTAGGCT